ACAACGATCAATTCATTATGTTGTCGATTAATACATGAAATGACTGAAGCCGGAAGAAAACTGACGGATGATATTATATCACTTATTTTTGTTCAAGATAAAAACGAAAGACCATTAGAAATATTGAGAACAATTTCTAAAAATCAAACTATTTCACAAGAATTGAAAGATAAAATAATACTATTCTCAAAAATAGAATCGACAATGAGTATTGATATCATCATTCTTGATGAATTTTTAAATAATATACGACAAGAATTACAGAAAAATCAAACACTTTCTCATCTAACAATTGAAAAACTACTTTCAATTCGAATTCCAAAGAATCATACAGAAAATAGCTTCAATATAGACGTCGAACAAAATTTGCTTGATATCTTTGTTGAGATATTAATAAAAAATCCTGGTTATTGTTTAAATCAATCAATTGTTGATAGGCTAGAAATAGCTCTTTTATCCAAAAAGATCAATAAAAATATTCTAGATGCATATAAGGAAGTTATCAAACGTACACAATGTCAAACAAATAATTTTTCTCGTGTATTAGACGTTTTCATAGATATTTTAGATGAGAACGGTAGTTATTTTAAATATCATTTCGACATACTTGTATGTCTTGCTTTGGCATCTGAAGCTACAACAATTTCAACATTAGAACCTTTCGAAATTAATCTTTTCAGTGATGAAGATATAATTCGTAGCTGGTCATTTCGAGGATTAAGAGCAGCTTATGAAAGAAAATATCAATCTTTAGAATTTCAAGAATGGTGTGATAATATTATTGATAAACTAGTAGAAAATACTAAATCCGAAGTTCACTTTAATTTAGACTTATTCGAAACTATCACTTCAGTGAAATATATCGACTTTGAGAAAATTCGTGATAAGCCACAAGATCAGTGGAATAGAGAACTGTTAATATTCGATTTAATAGAAAGATTCAAAATAAGTGAAGGAGAACGTTTTCATTTTTATAAAACTTGGCTTGAAATTGAAGAACTTGAAGAATTTCAGAATGACAAAAGTAATATATTATTGAAGTTATTACATCGTATTCTATTGAATAATAAAATGTCGTTTAATGAATTTTATGACGTAATAAAAATTTTAAATAGAATTGATTTTGAAAATGCACATGAGATCTTATCAAATAGTCGGAATCCTTGTCTAGATTTACAGAAAAGATGTCTAACAAAATTGCTCGATCAACGCTTATCGAAAAAAGAAGACATCAATAGTAAATATATTGATGATCTAGCATCGAATATGATATCTAAATTTGGCTTAAACATTAGTTATAAACTTTTTGATGCCTTAGAAAATATCGATAGTTTAAGAGAATTTGAAAATATTTTGAATTTTGCTCAAGAAAACAATATCGAAATATCTGATATCTATGTTAAAGAAACAACAATTTCAATATTAAAGAGATCTTTAGAAATAAAATTCTTAGGCAAGAAAATAGTTAAAACTGATCGTTTGAAATTAGCTCTTAATATTGATAATTTATTAGGTAAAAATTGGAATTTTGAACAATTAAATGAAATTTTTAGTAAACTTAAAATCTCTGATAACGTAGAGAAAAGAGTAAAAGAAGAAAATTTTCTGTATGTTTTAGAAATATTGTCGCAATATAAAATTTCTCCTACGCCAGAAAATCAAGAAAAAGTTTTATTAGCTCTAAACAAACCACCTGAGAAATGGTTGCGAGAAGTCAATAGACTTACAGTTGAAAGTAATTTTTCCAAAATACGTGAAATAAGAAGTGCAGCAGGATTAATAGAAGAATTAGGAAATATCAATTCTAATGATGAAGATTTGAAAAATTTCATGAGGATACATTTGCTGGAGATCATAGAAAAAATCAAAAGTTCTGATTTAATTTCTCGAGTATTAGACAATACTATCAAAGATCAGTCAATTTACATCACTCAATGGACAGAAGAACAAATACGACAGTGGGCACATATAGTAAAAGAGAATGTCGATTACTGGACTAAGGTAAATGATTTTACTATTGAAGCTCTAGCAGTTATGAAGCAAGCGAATTTCTTACATACTAAATTTCATCTAACCGATGCTCAAATTTTAAGTTGTTTAATTGCTTTAAATGCAAATGTTGATAAAGGAAGATTACTACAAATAGGAACTGGTGAAGGTAAATCAACGATTATAAGTGTATTAGCAGTAATTCATGCTTTAAAAGGCAAGAAAGTAGATATCATTACGAGTTCACCAGTACTTGCAGAAAGAGATGCGAAAGAAAAAGAAAAATTCTATAATATGTTTAACCTTCAATGTAGTGATAACAACGATAAGTCACTTTATTTGGCAGGTCCTAAAAAATGTTATAGAAAGGAGATCGTTTATGGTGAAGCAACACAATTTCAATTTGATACTTTGAGAACAGAATATGC